TCGATCTGAAAACTACCAAAAGTCCCTACTCATTTAACCGCAAACTCTTTGATTTCATCATTATCAGTGAGTACATGCCACCTTAAATGTAGTTAATAATCCACAATGCATTACTAGTTATAATTAATTGCAGTGCGTATGATATGTTTGTATGCGGATATGTATGACATGCAGGCGTGTGTAGGCGTATTTGTGTATGTATGATTATGTGCATGCATGGGTAACTGTATACGTTTGTGTGTACGTATCTGTGTGTAGGCGTGTGTCAGTGAATGTGTCTGTGTGTATGGTGTCTGGGTGCTTGTCTGTAGGTGTGCCCGTGAGCGTGTCTGTTTTTGTGTCTCTGTGTTGGCTCGTCCATATGCGTGTTTTTATGTGCATATGTATGTGTGTCTGTAAGCGTGTCTGTGTGTGTGTCTGTCTGAGTGTTAGTGTGCGTGTCAGTCTGTGTTGTGTGTCTGTGTGTTTTTCTTCAAATGTCTATCTGTATGTGTGGCTGCGTGTGTGTCTGTGTGTATGATTGTATGTGGATATGTGTGGGTGTGGCTTGGCTGCATGTTTATCCGTGTGTGTGTGTCTGTCTGTTTGTGTATATCTATGCTGTGTCTGTATGTGTTTCTGCGTGTGTGTCTGTGTGTCTATGCCTGCATGTGTCTGTGGCTGTGTGTTTCTCTGTGTGTTGTTTCGTGTGTATTTGTATGTTCATCTTTTTTATAATGTGTGTGTGCGTCTGCATGTGTGTGTCTGTGCGAGTATTTGTGCGTCTGTGGGTTTGTTAGTATGTGTTTGTGTATGTCTCCGTGTGTCAGTGTGTGTGTGTGTGCCATTATGTGTCTGTAGGTGTGTATGGCTGCATGTGCATCTGTGTCTGTCTGTGGCTGTGCGTGACTTTGTGTGTATCTGTGTGAGTCTCTATCGGTGTGTCTATTATATAATGTCTGCGGGTCTCTGCTTGTGTCGGGTTATGCGTCTGCGTGTATGTCTGTGTGTGTATGTGTGACTGTGTGTGTATATCTGTGTATGTGTGGGTGTTGCGCAAGTCTATGTGTGTGTCTGTTTCCCTGCTTTTGTGTGTGTATGTGTTTGTGTGTGCCCGTGACTGTATGTGTGTGTGTCTGTATGTGTCTGGGTTGTATGCGTGTGTGTTTCAGAGTGCGATTATATAAAGTAAGTGATTGGATATTGTAGAGTTATTTCTGAAGTTAACAACAGCAAAATCAAAGTTAATGTGACTGATTATATGAAGAGACAGAAGACTACATTGGTGAATGATAACATGACAGTTCACAACAAAGCTAATGTGATAATCAGATAATGGAAGTAGTAACAGTAAAAGAAGAAAACTTAAATCTTGAAAGATAAAGTCAGTAACAACAGCAAAGCCAACACAGATGTAATTATTTGATGTGATAGCAGACTAGGAGTTAAAGGATAACCTGTGAAGAATGAGAGTTGGAACAAAGCTGATGTGGTAAATGGGAAGTGACGGAAACCTAAAGTTGTCGCAGGGTAACGAAACGACTCTCAGCAAAGTAAAAAACGGATGTGATTTTTTGATGTGATAGCAGACTACAGGATTAGAGGATCACCTGCGAAATAGTGAATATCACAACAAGGCTGATGTGGTAAATTAAAATAGGAAGTGACAGTGAAGTGATGGAACACTGTGGAGGGAGTTGTTACAAAGTAGTACTAACTCCCTCGGCAAAGTCAAAGCAGCTGATGTGATTTTATATAGCAGACCGCGGGGCTAAATGATCACATGAAAGTAAGTTAGTAAAGGATATGACCACACCCTAAATGTTTAAAATAAGCATGCATATGACAGTTCACTGACTATTATTAGTCTAGACTATTTATTTAGACTACCCACTGGTTGGCAGAAGTGCCAGAAGCGACAAAAATCAAAAGGAAGAAGGAAGACCCCTGACATTTGATACATCAACGATCACTTCATTCACTTACTGTCTATTCAACTGTCTCAGGTTCGCAGAACCATGTCCACATTTCCGAGATAATATATCAGTAAAAGTCTATCTAGCTTATAGTAACAGGCGGATGGCGACTAAACTGAAACGGAAAAAAAAAAACACTTGTTCACTTGTTTTGTTAGCGAATATCACAGCAAAGTTAGTCACCGGAAATCACTTGAGACTAAATCTGCTATACGATAATTGTCCGAAGTACACGGAAGAGGGAACTTTCACTCTTTTCTTTTCCAAACGAATGAATGTTGAATGTTGAACTAAGAATCGGAATCATAGCACTCGGGACACCCCCATAAGCGCTCTGTCTCCATCTTCAGCAGCAAACAAAGTGTTTCAATTCCAATGGCACCAGTAACTGTCTGCTTGTATATCCGTCTCGCCCTTTCTTGGAGTGTTGAACGTCGACCAGATCCCCTGGTAACTCATCGCAGCGCTATCTCCCTCAGACCGTAATAATCTATTATTTGCGTTTCCGCACTGTTCACTCGCTCCCATAGGGCTCTCACAACGTCTAGCTGCACTTGGTAATTGCATTAAATCTTATAATGGGGTGGGGGTGGACTTGCACTTAGCCTATACTGTCTAGACAACCGTTGGCATCAATAGTTATAATAAAGACCAAGAAAATGACCATATATTTTTAACACCCGGAGACGAAGACTAGAAATCAACAAACAGGTACTGAAGTTAGTTAGTCGACAGATTTTCCTCATTGCTCAACTAACCATTTAATCCATAAGTTTATGAGTCGCTGAGTGAATTAAAATAGATAGTGAAGTTCAAACCAGAGACAACATTGCAGATATATATAATCTATTTCAAGCAAACGAGAGAAGAAGAAGAAGAAGATGAAGAAGAAGAAATAAATAGAAGAAGACGTCCTTGAGTGCTCCGATCCCCTCATCAGTAAATTCCGCAGCTTGTAGCGGGTGACAAAACCTGTGCTGTGTTGGTTTCTTTTTCCTCTCTGGTTTCTTGCATAGTGTTCATTTTTGACCACACTCCTTTTAACATGCTGTTCTTGCAATCTGGTCATGGTTGCAGATTCACAGTCATCACTGGGTTCTCATAAACGTCTTACTTCTCGCAGAGCATTCAGTATATCAGCCTGGTCCTTGGCTGGTCCACCCTTCACTGTAGCTGTACGTGCAAGTATATTAGTTTACTCATTTCTATACACACTTATGTTGGCTAGTTAATAGATGCAGATAATTGCGAACAATCATAACATCTGATGCAATATGCCTTGAGGAAATTTCTTCTTTTTCTTCTTTGGTTTGCTTGAAATAAATTATCAAGCAACGTTGTCTCTAATTTGAATTTCACTGTCTTTTGTAATTAACTCAGCGACCCGTAGAGTTTGACTTGCATCGATGTTTTTTTTTTGGGGGGGGGGGGGGAATAAGAGAATTTAAAACAAGAATCGCCACGTAAAGGAGATCTTCAGCACGAGCGTCTAGCTGCTACAACACGGCGATTCCCAATAGCTTAAGTAGATAGTCAATATTTTTGGACATATTGTGAGACGGAGTGGAGTCAAGAACTTGATAACAACTGGAAAGAGAGTGAGAGGAAGGCAAAAACAAATCTGGAGGGCTTAACTGGATGGATGGGGGGAGAGACAAAAACATTTAACTGACCGGTGTTTCTGGTGAGTGTGTGGGATGGCGAAACATGACCGCCTATGCTTTCCGGTACGGTACATGATGATGATGATGATGATGATGATTATGATGATGATGATGAGGATGATTAGCTGTTTGCAGTCGGGCGGTGATAGTTTTATGTCACCAGCTTTGACTTGTGAAGGTAATACCTATCTAGAAGACACAGAAGTCGACAGAGCAGAGACGTCCACGCCCCTCACTGGCTCGCTCGACGAGAACCTGGCTTGTTATTTATTCGCTGACACTGGAGCTATGCGACAGGTGTATGTATGTGTGTGTATGTCACTTGCCAGAGGACAGCAAATTGGCGCCAATTTAACATATGGTTACGTTTAAATCAAGGTGTACATTTTATCAATAACTTTCTACAATGTAACTGTGAGGATTACGCGCTATATTCTCTTGTGCACCGGTTTTAATGTAGGCATTCTATACAATCTTGTGATACCTAATGGTTCGGTTACTCTTGATATTATTAATAATAATTTAATTTTAGTAAATAAAGCAAGATAAATAAACGCAGTGCTGGATTTAGGTATAAGCTTAATGATCTAGGGCCTCACAATATGCAGAGGCTTCAACAAGTTCATTTTTTTATGCTTTTTTCTTTTAATATATTTTAAATGCAGTTTTATTTTCATACAACCCTTAGATGATTATAAAACATAATTTGTGTGCTTTTGCAAACACTGTTTATCATTTCTTTTACCAAAAATGTAAAGATAATATACGTCTCTTATCCGCATAGGTATTTAAAAGGCATATATATTTTTATGTTTCATGAGATAACCTGGTTTACTTTCAAATCGTAGTGCCTCAGCGCTTGTTACAGCTTAGGGCTTCAGTATGTCTAAATCCAGCTCTGAATACTATGAACATAATGTAATATATGTGAACAATGATATGCCTGATAAAAAACCATTTAAAAAAATAATTGTCCTGTGAAAGGTGAGTATTTTAAAGGGCCAGATGCGAGACAGGTCTAAATCCCAATTTGTGACCCTTTGGAAATAACGTTTCTTCGTTCATTCTCTCTATCAATGGAGAGAGAGATTGTAATATAATGTGATTGTGATAATCTTATTCTAACTGAGGAGTAAAATATTGTACTGAAATATGATTGTGATAATATCACTAAAACCAATAGAGAGTGTACTTCAATGTGGTTGTAATAATTGGACTACAGCAGTACAGTGAGAGACTTTAAAATTATGATAATCTGAATGGCAATACTGTAAATTGGTACTTTAAAATGACCGTAATGGTCTGACTAGTCATTGAGCAACTTACTTCAGTGACGGACCTCGTGACGGCTTCAAATTCTGTTAGCCAAAAAACTCCTGACATGGATGATCTAAACACCCCAACTCCACGTAACAGATTCAAAATCCACCAAGGCCATGCTGTGCATGGGTTCTTGTCTCAACAACCTCTTCCTGGCAGACTGCCTGTTGGAGTTGGTGATGATCAAGGTCGAGTCGGTAAAGATCATCAGAAAAACGTTTCCGCTGATGGTGATACTGGTTTGGTCTTGTTATCACACAGCCACCTCCCTGACGATCTCGAGTTTCCAGCAAGAGGGACGGCTGCCAGGCTTAAGGACAAGCGAAGTCGGCCAAACCACACGAAAGGAAAGTTGCCGAAAGACAAAAGAAAAATGAGGGAAAAGCGTAGGAGCACGGGAGTTGTACACTGTATGCCTGGTGCAGAGGTAATGTATATTTCATACACTATATTTTATTATCTTCATCATACAGTTATAAAAACTTATTATATCTGTCATTTGGGCATGTTTGCAGAATGCCACGGGATTCTTTGGCAAGGACAGCTCTCTAGTAGGCGGCAGATGAGCAAAGGAGACGTGGTCGATCTGGGAAACAAGAGAACGGACAGTAGTACGGGAAATGAAGGAATTTAAACTGCCATATACACAAAACAGCGACCGGCAGAAATTAAGATCACTTATGAAGGCCTGATGTGTCAATAACAACAAGAGAGGTTATACAAATTACCCTTCTGCACAGTCATCATCATCATCAGGTGCCTTGCCGACTGGCGTGGGCGATCATGCCTCTCCGTAATCTGCGATCTCCTGCATCATGTATCAGTTCGTGTGCCGACACACCTCCATGCCATGCAACGTGCATGCAACGTTGTGCACAGTCAACGCGATTAATTTGTAATCCCGTGCTAATTTAAGACGCAATTGTTCGTTTTTTAAGGTCTCACCTCTGCTGTAGTCGGGGCCCTAGTATAACCTAACGGTTAAACTGGGGGTTTCGGACTTTCGCCCGGGTGATCCCAATTCGAATGGTGGCACTTTGTGACACCAGCCGTTGGTCGCTCTTTGTGCGGTCCTGGTGGGGTTAAATCACATACCTACCATTCAGCGCGTTGCGTATGTATGTCACACCAAGACCGTCTCCATCTGACTGAATCAAGACCGTCTCCACTTGATGATAGCTTTTTATTATTATTATTATTGTACCGTAGGGAGGCATACGAATCACAGACCATGAAGATACCAGTTAAGGCCAGGGAAGAAGTTTTTCCTCTCCAAGGCACAAAACCTGGCCAGTATTTCAGAGACCATATGCTGCCCTTGCAACATGATCCTTATTTCAGCCTCTCAACTCCGAAGGAAGGGTAACACAAGTACGTTTGGAGCACGACCTCGTCAAACCTTTAATATTTTCTGCCGGATGTCACGGTTTGGAGTAAATTATGCTGCAGAAACTGTCGGATCAGAAGTGTAGTGATGTCTATCTGCCTATCGGTGCTTTCCTGCTTGACCAGCTGCCGTGGTGTAGCAGCTAGACCTTCGCATGCGGATCTGAAAGTCGGGATTTCAAGTTTTGACGGAACCGGCCTTTTTCAAGAATAACTTGGCTCCCAGGTCGATCCAGACTTAATTGGGTACCAAGTAAGGGCGACCGGTGTCACACTGACCACATCACCCACCGAGTGAAGATTGGCCTATGAATCCTAGCTCTTGCATTATATACCCAATACGCCTAAATGAGTGGAAAAGCGTCCTTGACTTACTTACTGGTGCCAGCCAAGACTAGGAGCCTGATCTGCCTTGCTAAAACATTAGGTTTTTAGGTTGCGTTTCCTCGTCCTCTCATGAGACTAGTATCAGCCTGAGTGCGCTCCTCTGACAGAAGATGTACCTATCTATGTACACATTTCCTTTAGTTACTAAATACAAAAGCACTCCTCCCCACTCCCCCCAGAAATGTGTTTAGTGCAAGCAATGTGCATTTGGTCCCTGTGGACGCAGTAAATCCATGAGATTGTTGTTACTGTTGTTGTCATTACTGACCCAACCTGGCATCAGACGTGACCTTCTGGTACTCTAAGAGTAAATAATAAGGATGTGTGTGCCTTTACTTCCCAAGACATTATTTGGTACATATCTTAGCTGGGTTGACTTGGGAGCTAAGATTGATTTTGTAGGGGGATGGGGGGGGGTCAAACTCGATGGGGACTTGAACGGAAATCCTTCGGACCTACAGGCAGGCGTATAGCCACTACTCCGTATCGGATCTCTGTTTGCAGGAAACTGACCATAAAACTGTAGAAGCAAACAATCAGGATATCAAAGTATGGATAAACTGCTTTCTTCACTTCACTGGTCCATCCCAAGCAGGGTTGCTCCTTTTCAAGTCAGAGATTGACTGATTGTCTCACAATACAATAGTCCAGAATTTCTAATCTGCTAGTAGAGATGAGATAGTATTAGAATGGGGACAGTTAGTGTTATTTGAAAACCTATGTCTGCCTGCATCCTCTTGGCTGTGACACCCGTCTTAATACTACATAATCAATTTTGTTAGCGAGAG